GGGGGAGAGAAACACACAAATGCAACAAAATTAAATTTATTTGTTTGTACCTGTTAAGATGTTTGAAATCTTTGGCTAAAAATCACTGTATAGATATGATGAGGATGATCGTCAACACAGTAGGGGCTTTGTAATAAATAACCTTGATATCAATACTCTCCTATCACAAGGAGGAAGTTATTTTCTCTACAATATATGAACATTTCCCCCCATTGGGGAACTTACAAAATTATTTTTAAATATTAGAACATTTGAATGAGACATAAATTAATAAAATGTCAAGCCAGAGCCTCTCTTTTGAAGGTGCCAGTTGCTTTAAAAAATAGTGTAGAAAAAGCAATAAAATCAAGCAGGAACTCTAAGTAAGACCTATATAGGAAATGTGCCAGCTAAAGATCTTTCCTGTGCAAATGCCATTTGTGCTCTTTCCTCCCCTCCCCCCAACCCTCAGTGAGAAAAAAACAATAAAATCAAGTTCAGAATATTTATGCTGCAACCCAATCCTCATGGTCTTTTGACATTTGATAGATGGGTATTGAATATTGCCATAACCCTCACGGACTAATCAGTGTCTGACAGCTCGAAAGGATTACTTGGGAGGTTTTGCAATAGTAGGTTGGTCATCTAAAACCAGGCCTCCTAGTGTCGTATTTATGAATACAAACAGATGTGTACTCATCAGTCCCATGATTAAGTAATGCTACTAGAGCCCTTTGATTTAGATATTCCCAGAGAATACTACATTCACATCATCCATTGCAAAAGATTTCCAACATTTCCCTGAATCAGTTACTCAACATCCTGCCCATTTAAACAAGAAAAGAGCCAACTTACCAACTTAATCATATGGCTGCTACCTTGCATCTGAGCCAAGTACAATGTGTTTTGTGTACCACTAACTTTTTATAGGATATAAGTGGGCATTCAACACTTCCTTACAGATCTCCGGTCTCTGTTGTATGTATTAATTATGAAAGCTGCTTAATATGGAGAGGAGGGCAGATTACAGGCAAAGCAGACTACTTATCAGAGAAATATCTTAGTACATTTCTCAGGGGACCGTTGCAGCACGCTGATGCACTGCTGAATCATGGATCTGTCTGGTACATTTATAACATTTCTGTAGTAGCACTCACTTCGTAATCCTCTGTGCTTCAACCCCACAGTCTCAAAGCCAGTGACTGGTCACATGACCTGAACCATTTTGATGTGTGAGCAGGATTCTTTGCACAAGCCTTTATCCTGGGTATTATTTCCCTTGATCTGCATATATGTTGAACTGTTGTCAGTGAGAATGATAACACAGAAACATGCAGCCTTTGGAGCTAGGGGCAGGGGGGTTGGAAAACAGTTTAGCAATGAAACTAGCGATGTTAAAATGTGTTTAATAAGTAAACATGTAACCGCTGAAAATTTCAGCAGTTACATGTTTACACGCAGGTGGCAGTTGGCTCCCCTCTCCTCATACATCAGCTCCTCCTTGCCCCTCCTCCACTGCCTCAGATACAGAGGCAGCAGTGCAGGGGAGGGTGGAGCAGCCTGTAAGTTTTCCACAGGAGGAGGCAGGCTCTGGGTTTGGGGCCAGGGAGCTACTAACTCTGTCTGCAGCCAGATGGCGGAGCTGCAGACTTGCTGGCCACTGTGTGCCCACTGTCTTGGTGCTGCAGCTGCCCGCAGTGGCCACTCTCAGTATCACATACCTCTTCTCTGTGCTCCTCCTTTTCACATCCCTCTGCTCTCTTGCCCCTCCCTTTCCACGTTATGGAAAATAGTCCCATTCCCAGCACTTCCTAGTTTTCAGGCACAAATGAACCCTGAACTTGGTTTAAATTAGGATAAGAGAAAGCTGCATACCAAATGTGGTGGTCCTACCTCTTAAGGCAGGACTACTCAACTTTGGAAGCCCTTGGGGCCACAATGGAACCCACAGCACATGCCGAGGGCCACAACTTACGTGTGATTGCATATATATGCAAATATGTGCAAATATTTATGCAAATATATGCAAATAGCTTATTTCACACTGGCACTCATGAATACAGAGATTAGTACACAGGCCCCATTTAAGTCCGTTCTGTTGATATTAATAAAATGCAATATTGACCTGATTTCCACCCATATGACAGCGCTTTTAATGAGCAATGACACTGCAGCAATTTAACTACTAAAACACATATCGACAGCAGACCATTATAATGCCTACCTTTTTTGTTTTGGCTTCACAATTTTAACAAATCAAACAAAACTGCCAATACAATATTCACTGAAATATAAGTACAATAAAGGTGAAGTTAAAGGCACCAAGTGGAGAAGTAGGGTGGCTAGAAAAGTAACTCAGGAATCCTGCTTCCCAGAATCCCTTTCCTTTTCCCTGCCCGCCCCATCAAGCACCAGCTCCCACAGTCCTCACAGAGCAGAGACTCGAACCGCCAAATCTAACCAACAGACCCACTGCCCACCTACAAGAAAGGAAATTAGCCAGAAGTTTTAATGCCAAGTGCCCCATGCCCTCCCCCCTCCCCAATCTCATGGAGATGCAGAGTTTTGCACCCCTCCCCTGCTGTGTAGGGTTGCCAGATGGTTTAACAAAGAATACCGAACATCTCCGCCCCGCCCCCCCGTCCGAAAAAAAAAGCACTGGGAAAAAATTCTGTCAAAGAAAAGAAAAAGGAGGAGAGGGAAGACCAAAGAAAAAAAAAGGGGGGGCAAAGTTGTTAAGCAAAATTTGCACCACTCCCTTCAGTTTGGGGCCACACACTAACCCCCAATGCACCCACCCCTCCCCCACAGCCAGGCACCCTCCAGCCCATCCCCTCCACTAGAACCAGGTTCCCTCCTCAGCCTCCTGCTCCAACCCAATGCCCCTCCCCTCTCCCAGAGCCAGGCACCCCCAGCCTCCCTGCTCTAACTCAATGCCCTTTTCCTCCCGCAGAGCCGGGGACATACATTTTGCAGGGCGGAGGGTAACGCGTTTTTCCCTCCAGGTGCGGGGGCCCGTGTGCAGAGTGGCTGTGAATGGTCCGGGCGCATGTCTCCAAATGTTCCATTGAAGGCACATGCCGCCACCCCCTCCCTGATCCCCTTTGCAGGGCAAAAAATCTCAGACATTTTTTGCTTTTTAAAAAACCTGGCCAGCCAGCGATTTAACATGTGAAAACAAGGACATGTCCGGGAAAAATCCTACCCAAGCCCCAGTGCAGAGCTCTCTCACCCCAGCCTCACTGCCTCACTCCACCACCACCTCACTCTCTCACTGCCCAGCTCTGCCATTGCCTTGCCATGTTCCTCTTGCCGCCCCCGACAGGTCCTGCACACGTGCCGATGTGGCCTGACTTGGGAAGGTGCTGCTGTTGCTGCTGACACGGCAGACATGCTCTGCCGCCGCCTTTTACCACCCCACTCCCTGCCAGCCCGTAGCTCCCCGCCA